TTTTTTTCATTTCAGTTAAAAAATTATACTAATGGCGCTCATTAGTTTGACCAATTAAATTAAAGATTAGATATAATCTTAGAATAGATTAATTAGACTATTAAACAATTAAATAACAACATATATATATATATATATATATATATATATATATTGATAGAATTCAACATCTAGCTGTTTCTGCCAATATTTCTGATTCCTTACCGCAAACTATAAAAGAAGATACAAATGACAACATAAATCAACTTTATGGAGTATAAGCATTTTTTAAGCATTTTATAAGTATTTTATACAATAGCATATACTCGAAGACAACTTAATGTTTTTTTTTTTCATTTACAAACTCCTCGTTTTCACGTGTATGAAAACTGAGAAAACCTTTTTATAACATTTTTTTTAATGCTTAGGTATTGCGTATTTCTTACAATGTACTCATCCTAGGGCATTAAAATTAATTTATGACTAATATTAATGAGGTATTTAATATTATGAAAAATTTATTCATAGATTTTAAAATATAACGGTATTTATTTGTAATTCATCTAAAATTACATTTTCTTCTTACGTTAAAGCACAAAAAACTTACTAAATATTAAATAAAATCTAATAGTTTTGAAACGTGTTCATTATTTTTTAATATTGTATTAATAATTATTCTCAATACATAGAATATGCAATTTTCTTCATATTACTTTTATATAAGAGAATACAAAGTTTCAGATTCTGTAATATATGAAATTCATTTGGAATAAATTTAATAATGAACGATGGATTATTACGAATATATTTTTTTCAAAGAATTGTAGAATTTATTAAACACTTATAAATATAAATATACATTAATATATATATATATATATATATATATATATATATATGATGAAATAAAATATTTGTATCTTTTAAAAATTAATCGTTTTTTTTCTTTAAAATAACTTCGTCTTTCTTTTTTTTTCAACTGTATATAAAAGTTACACTATACGATTTATAATTATATGATGTATTGTAAGAATTAAATTAGTTACTGAAAAAGTTCTTAAGCGTATTTGACGTAATTGAAACATTTGTTTTTGAGCTATTAAAATTCAATTTAAGTAGTAGGATTTTGTAGTAAATTTTATTTTTATAAGCATAAACGTTGTTAATATTCAGAACTTTTGAATTCTTTTATTCATATTATTGTAATCAACGAGTAAGACCTTATTCTTTACGTCATAAAAAACAATAATTTTATGACTTTGTTGTAAATTTTATCCTTCTATTGTGTATCCTTCTATTATGAGATAATATTACGATTGTTGTTTTAAGGAAACATATATGAGATAACAATTTCATTAGTTATTTTAAAGTAATTTACTACGTGTATAACTTTTTGACACTAATTTTTAGAGAAATAATTGAAATAAACTATCAATGTATATTTGCAAAGCAGTTTCAATAATACAATTAACTTTAAATTTGGATCCATAAAACTTTATGCAAGTACTTTATTAAATAGTTAATATCTTATAATACGTATATAAATGTTCTGTAAATATCTAATAATTTAAAAGCTGTTTAATTTTAATATATTCGACTTCCATGATGTAAAAATATATTTTAACAATCAATCTTTATATTTTCACAATGTTAAAAATTCTTCTTCTTCTTATTCTTATTCTTATTATTATTATTATTTAATATTTCTATTATTTTAATTAACAATGCTTATTTTCATATTTGTAAAATTTGGTTGTAAAAAGTTATAAATTAAAAATTTCTTTCTTCATTACAAAATATAATAAATTTCAAAAACATTGCAATTTTCAATTTTCATTAGATTTATTTAATATACAACCGAAAAAATTTGAGCTAAATATCGACTGAAAAAAAATTCAAATTGATAACTCCATTTCCAAGTTTTTTTTTTTTTTTTTTTTTTTTACTGATTTATTAAATTATATTTTTGAATATTAGAAATTTATTACTTCCTTGAATAAATAAAGTCCATATATAAATAACTATTTAATTTTTACAGAATAGTTTATAGTCTCAATTATAAGATCCTAATTTCAAATGAAGATTACAATTTATTTAACAAGTATAAGTGTAGTCTTGAATAAATTTAATTTAATTTTAATCAATCTCATTGCTTTAGTATTCTTGTATTCATAATGTTTATCTAACAATTGGATAAAATAAATTGCATGTATTGAAATTAATATATAGCATTGGCATCTTGCGCATATGTTATAAATAAAATTAAAATTATTTTAACAATGACAGATGAAACATTTAAATGCAAGACTATTTTGAAAACATGATTTTAACATATGAATACTTAATAATAATTTTCTATCCATCTGCGTACCCCCCCCCCC